CCAGCGTTTGGCAGCGCACGGCCTGATCATCAACCCTTCCAAGTGCCAGTTTGGGTTGCCTGTTCTGGATTTCCTCGGGCACCGGATTTCCGCTGAAGGTGAGGTTCCGTTGCCCGACAGAGTCCAGGCCGTTTCGGCTTTTCTGCGTCCCACGTCGGTTAAAGCGTTGCAAGAGTTCTTGGGGATGATAAACCTTTACAACCACTTTCTCCCCAGAGCTGCTCACCTGCTACAGCCACTCTATGCTCCCTCGAACCTTTCCGTGTCCCGGGTAGGCGTTTTGATCACGTTCATGTGGACCTGGTTGGTCCCTTGCCGCAGTCACAGGGTTTAACGCACCTTTTGACTGTGGTGGACCGCACGACCAGGTGGCCGGAGGCGGTACCCCTGGTGTCCACGACGGCAGTGACGGTGGCTAGGGCATTTTTGTCAACGTGGGTTTCACGTTTCGGTCCCCTGCTGACATTACCTCGGACAGGGCCCCCAGTTTGTTTCTGAGCTTTGGTCTGCTATGGCTGACGGCCTGGGGGTCAAGGTCCACCGCACCACAGCATACCACCCGCAAGCTAATGGGATGTGCGAACGGTTTCACCGGTCACCTAAGGCCGCGCTCCAGGCTTCCTTAACAAGTGGCGACTGGGTCGACCGTCTTCCGTGGGTTTTGCTGGGATTGCGTAGCGCAGTTAAAGAAGACCTCGGGGTTTCCCCGGCTGAACTGGTCCTCCGCCAGCCTCTCCGGGTCCCCGGGGAATTCTTACCTGAGAGCCCTCCCCCATGTTTCGATACCTCTTTGTTGCCTTTTCGCCCCCCAAGAGACTCATTTCCTGTTCCTGGTCCTGTGCACCACTGCCTGCCTGACACTTTTGTTCCGAGTTCGTTGGACTCTGCTCGTTTCGTTTTCGTCAGGCACGATGCCCATAGGACTCCGCTGAGTCCACCATATGACGGGCCATACAGGGTTCTTAAACCAGGCAACAAACATTTCATTTTGGACTTTGGCGGTCGGCAGGAGGTTGTCTCTGTTGACAGACTTAAGCCTTCACATGTTATGCAGGAGGATCAGGTGGTCCCGGCCCAGGCCCCTCGCTGCGGCCGCCCACCTGCCACTGGGCTGATGGATTCTGTTTTTTCCCCCAGGAGCGACCCAAAATCAACGGAGTCCGAGTCGTCTGCAGCTTTTTCTGACCGCCAGTGCCAGCCTCGCTTCCGGGCTGGGTTGCCCTCTGTCAGTTCCCCACCCCCCGGTTCAGCCGTTCCGGCCGTTTGTTTAAGCCCCGGGTCCTGGACTAGTTCTGCTGTGTGTTCGGGGGGGGCATGTGTGGTGGACCACTAGAGGGCTCCACTCACACCCAGTGTATAGGAAGTGTGTTCCTGTGTTTTGTGGCGCGATATGCCCAGTTGATGTTGGAGACTAATAAAGAAGGAGTGAGAACTGAGAGCTCTGTGTCGTTGATGCTTACCTCCACACTGCTATCAATACATTTTTCTAAAAATGCCTCTCTGTGCAAAATGGGTTCAAAAACAAACAACTGTGGGATGTTGTTTGTCCGTGATTTGGACAGGTGGAACAAATTACAGCAGGATCAGCCTGATATTATTTGTATCCCACTGTAACTTTACTGTATAACATCTCCAAAATGCCAGGAGTAGTAAATAGTCATTACAAGAAGTGTTTGTGAACTAAACATCAAGAATGTGGGATACTGTTTGTCCATGATTTGTACAGCACACAGCAAATTGTGATGAATAAGGATAGCCACTCCTCTAGTTTTTCTTTTGCAAGATGAGTAGAGAACTTGACCAACCCAACTTCTCTTTAGTTGTGTGTGTTACAAATATAAATGTTACAAATCATTTAGAGGGGTTTCTGACAATAAAGCAATTTGGGGTTTTTCTTTTTCAATGGTGAAAGAGTTTGTCTTTTTACTGTCACGGCTCATGTGGCAAGTGGAATTTTAATAAAAGACCCAAGATGCGGGCAGCTTCCGAAGTGAGTGAACCTTCATTTTGACAGTGACAATACAAATAGCAGGGGAGAAGTCATGTCCAGAACGCAAGAAGAACTAAACTGGGAAAACTAACAGAAACAGACCTGAAAGAGAGTTGCAGGGAGACTTAGGGAAATGATGCAGGGAACCACACAGGTTGACGGAGGGCAATAACGCAGGCGAACCAGCAACAGGCAGGAGACACACAGGGCTTAAATACTCACAGGGGTAATCATGGGAGGGGAGACAGAAGGAGAACACACCTGGGAGAAATCAGAGCTGACGAGATACAGATGTAAAGCTGAGAACACTCACATGAGACAGACCTTCAGACTAAAACAGGAAACTCACAACAGACACACAGAGAGATACAAAGGGTAGAGACACTGGAGGGAATCCAATAAACTAAACTAAACAACCTAGGAAATGTGGAATAAATCATGAACTAAGAAAATACATAAACAAGAAAACTAAGAACGCTGGGTTGTTTTGACCCAGGGCCACGACATTTACAGCATTATGCAGCCCTTTAACATTTAAGGAAATTATTTAAGGTCCGTTATATCAACATAAAACATTTTTTATAACATGCTGTGTAAAACATCATTTCTGGGGTTCACAACTACACAAGGGCATATATATATATTTCCATAAGAGAGAATGTAGGTGAGTTTACCTATGAAGCTTCTTGAGGCGACTTTTGTTGTGATTTGGCGCTATATAAATAAAATTGATTTGAATTGAAGTTTAGTTAAATTATGAAAACAAAAAACAAAGAGAAAGAAGAGAAAAAAATAGGCAACAAAAACCTTACATGACAAGAAAAAAAGAAGAAAACAAAAGCAACTCCTAATAACCCCTTACCCATATGGAAAATAAATAGAAAAACCTTATAAAAGACTTGCATAAGATTTGGCTTACCTCATATAGTAAATCATATAAGGCTTATCTGATTTACTCATGAAAGTGGCCACTTTCTCATTACTTTCATATATTGTGTCATGGCTCGCTGTGTGGCAGGCAGGATGAGGACCCAAAATGCAAACTCACGGACTCAGGGGATAAAGTCAAAATCACAGCTTTAATGCTGGAAGGCAGATCACAGGAAATACAAAACTTAAACTGGGAACAATAAACTAACACTCGCAGAGAGACACAGGGAAATCCACGCAGCATGAGGGAGAACGCGACACAGAACTGAGGGAGACGCAGACATAAATACACCGAGGGTTAACGAGGGAAGTGGGAGCACATGGGGAACACAGGTGACACTGATAATCATAACGAGACAGGGCGGGGTGAACATAACATGACGTATACAGGTGCGGGAGTCCCAAAGTAAAACAGGAAGTACACGGGGGTTCAGACAGGAGGGGAGAGAGAGCACAGGAAGAACATAGCCATAACGGGCAGGGGAAACATGGAATAAACACAAAGAGAGACGAGGGCTCATAAATACACAGAGGGGCACACAGGGGGTAAGCGTCACGAAGGGAAAACACTTAGGGAACAACACAACAGGACAGCTCAGAAAACATGGCCTAAATAAGGAACGAAATACAAAAGATACAAGAAACTAAGAATACTGGGCCAACATGGCCCAGGACCATGACATATTGTTTTAGTAAGTATCCAAAACATACAAGTTTCATTTATATAATTTTTCAAGGGATCTTATATCTGTTTTCACTCTTGTATGCTTTTCATACAAGTTTCACACAAGACAGATACAAACTTTATAAGATTTATATATATCTTTTCCATATTGGTACCCTCCCCAAATAGGCCGATGCTACAATCAATAGGAAAGGGAAAAAAACTGGGTCTTGTGAAACCGAGCTAGAGTCACTGACAGGTAAAAAGAGAAGAAAAAGAAACCCTAAAGAACAAAAATTTCCCTCCATACTCCCTGCTGCCAGAGGAAAAAAAGCCAACCTCAATATTGAAATATATATCTAACTTTAACTCATTTTATGTGTGATCGTGGCTCAAGTGTTGGGAGTTCGCCTTGTAATCGGAAGGTTGCCGGTTCGAGTCCTGGACAGTCTCGGAAGTTGTGTGTCTTGAGCAAGACACTTCACCCGTTGACTACTGGTGGTGGTCAGAGGGCCCGGTGGCGCCAGTGTCCTCGCCTCTTTCAGTGCGCCCCACTGACTGTGGTTACAACGTAGCTTGCCATCACCAGTGTGTGGATAACTGGATGTGTAAAGTGCTTTGGGATCCTTAGGACTAGGAGAGCGCTATACAAGCCATTTACCATGTAATTGCAAAAAAGCAATTACCTTTAAAAAAAATTGAAAATTGTTTTTATTTTTTTAACATATATTTGTAGTTAGAGAAATTTAAGAGGTTTATTCCTCAAAACTGTAAGTACAAAAAAGTTGCACAAATTGTTTTCCCATCACAGGCAATTTATTTTGAGTGTCTTTATAGTTTTATTTTTGAAATACACCAATTTTTATGCACTGCAGGAAAAACGAAAATAAATATTACAATGCAAATTTGCAAAAAAAGCAGCATATGCATCAAAATAAACTATTTCCAGCAGTGCAATATGAGTCCTAAGCATCCCAGAAACGATACAGAAAGTCATAAAGTCAAAGATAACTTTTAAAAACACCAGTATAGGCTCATGAGGTCCTGATGGTAAAAACTACATTTCCGCAAAATGATGTCACTTCCTGTTTCGGGCAGGTCATGGCGGACATGCGATAGTTCACGATGATGGACATAGGAAGTGTTACAAACAGCTGATCGGATCGGCAAAGCGTGTTTCTGGAATATTATGTTTTTGTTGTTGCAAAGTGGTTTTTATGCAATTTTTTCAAAGCTATATATGGGAGGTAATCGTGACCTAGGAGTCGCTGATGGCATAAGATGGAAGTACAACTCCTCCGGTTTCATATGCAAAACAAATTATTGCGAGTTAGTGAGGCGAGTTACTGAAGTAACATTGTCATACTCACTAGGTTTGCTTTTGCCCCCCCACCCCCCACCCCACCCCCCGCCAAGACTGTCTTTTACAGTGTCATCGGTGTCTAAAGCGTAAGCTCAGAGAGGAGTTCCAAATTGTCTTGGAGGGAAGTGTCAGAGCTGAAAATCCAACCCAAGTCCCACTGAATCAGATCTACACAGAGCTCTACATCACAGAGGGAGGGACTGCAGAGGTCAATAATGAACATGAGGTCAGACAGATTGAAACAGCATCAAGGAAACCAAACAGACCAGAAACAACAATCAGACAAGAAGACATATTTAAAGGCACACCACAAAGAATTAAACAAATCAGAACAGTGCTGACAATGGGAGTGGCTGGCATTGGGAAAACAGTCTTAACACAGAAATACAGCCTGGACTGGGCTGAAGACAAAGCCAACCAGGACATCAAGTTTTATTTCCATTCACTTTCAGAGAGCTGAATGTGTTGAAAGAGGAAAAGTTCAGCTTGGTGGGACTTGTTCATCACTTCTTTACTGAAACCAAAGAAGCAGGAATCTGCAGCTTTGAAGACGTCCAGGTTGTGTTCATCTTTGATGGTCTGGATGAGTGTCGACTTCCTCTGGACTTCCACAAAACTACAATCCTAACTGACCCTAGAAAGTCCACCTCATTGGATGCGCTGCTGATAAACCTCATCAGGGGAACCTGCTTCCCTCTGCTCGCCTCTGGATAACCACACGACCTGCAGCAGCCAATCAGATCCCTTCTGACTGTGTTGGCATGGTGACAGAGGTCAGAGGGTTCACTGACCCACAGAAGGAGGAGTACTTCAGGAAGAGGTTCAGAGATGAGGAGCAGGCCAGCAGGATCATCTCCCACATCAAGACATCACGAAGCCTCCACATCATGTGCCACATCCCAGTCTTCTGCTGGATCACTGCTACAGTTCTGGAGGATGTGCTGGAAACCAGAGAGGGAGGACAGCTGCCCAAGACCCTGACTGAGATGTACATCCACTTCCTGGTGGTTCAGGCCAAAGTGAAGAAGATCAAATATGATGGAGGAGCTGAGAAAGATCCACACTGGAGTCCAGAGAGCAGGAAGATGATCGAGTCTCTGGGAAAACTGGCTTTTGATCAGCTGCAGAAAGGAAACCTGATCTTCTATGAATCAGACCTGACAGAGTGTGGCATCGATATCAGAGCAGCCTCAGTGTACTCAGGAGTGTTCACACAGATCTTTAAAGGGGAGAGAAAACTGTACCAGAAGAAGGTGTTCTTCTTTGTTCATCTGAGTGTTCAGGAGTTTCTGGCTGCTCTTCATGTCCATCTGACCTTCATCAACTCTCGACTCAATCTGATGCAAGAACAACAAACAACACCCATTAAGTGTGATACCAGAGAAGAACTAGAAGAGACACATGTCACCCAGAGTGCTGTGAACAAGGCCTTACAGAGTCCAAATGGACACCTGGACTTGTTCCTCCGCTTCCTCCTGGGTCTTTCACTGCAGACCAATCAGACTCTCCTACTAGGCCTGCTGACACAGACAGGAAGTATCTCACAGACCAACCAGGAAACAGCCCAGTACATCAAGGAGAAGCTCAATGACAATCTGTCTGCAGAGAAGAGCATCAATCTGATCCACTGTCTGAATGAACTGAATGATCGTTCTCTAGTGGAGGAGATCCAACAGTCCCTGAGATCAGGAAGTCTCTCCACAGATAAACTGTCTCCTGCTCAGTGGTCAGCTCTGACCTTCATCTTACTGTCATCAGAAAAAGATCTGGATGAGTTTGACCTGAAGAAATACTCTGCTTCAGAGGAGGCTCTTCTGAGGCTGCTGCCAGTGGTCAAAGCCTCCAACAAGGCTCTGTAAGTACACTGATAGCTGGGCTTATACATTATTCAAATTATTTCTAGATTTATAAATGTATTATTGTCTCTTCAGACTGAGTGACTGTAACCTCACAGAGAGAAGCTGTGAAGCTCTTTCCTCAGTTCTCAGCTGCCACACCTGTAGTTTGCAAAAATTGGACCTGAACAACAATGATCTGCAAGATTCAGGAATTACTTTTCTGTCTGTTGGACTGGAGAGTCCACATTGCAAACTGGAAACTCTCAGGTATGGTATATATATTATATATATATATGTGTGTGTGTGTGTGTGTGTGTGTGTGTGTGTGTGTGTGTGTGTGTGTGTGTGTGTGTGTGTGTGTGTGTATATATACTGTATGTGTGTGTGTATATGTATATATGTATATAGATAGATAGATAGATGCTTTTTGTTTCATTTTTTACATTGGAGCTGACGAATATTTTTGACTAAGGAAGAAAATATGAAACACGGTTTGGTCCTTTATTGCATCTTTAGTGTGTTAACATATTATGTTTAGTGAAATGTCAAGCCATTTAAACTAATCTGCCACAGTTGTACTATATAGGTTATATTTTGGTAACTGTTTATATTTCATCAGATTTAAAATGCAGGTCTATGTCCATTTATTAAAATCTATGTTACTTGTGTGCAGCTTCATTGTGGATGTTTAACTATTACATTTCTTTCTCTTATTCAATAACTTTTCTAAGGCTGAGTGGCTGTAACCTCTCGGAGAGAAGCTGTGGAGCTCTGATCAGAGTTATTCAATCAACTAATCTCAGGGAGATGGATCTGGGTAACAATAACCTGCAGGATTCAGGAGAAATTCTACTGTCAGCTGCATTGAAGAGTCCATGCTGTAAACTGGAGTCTCTTAGGTTAAGATCAATCAGACTATATCAAATTAACATATTTTAAACAGGGAGAAAGATCAAATCTGTATCTGTCTTTATACTTTGGCCAAAAATTTGTTGGACAGACATCAAACCTCAAACATGCTTGAAATGTCAAGGGTCAAGACTTTAACAAAATTATAGCATTAACATTTGAGAATGAGAATTTTTGAAAAGCAGGAGAATATTAAAAAAAAATACAGGAAAGTAGCTAATACCTCAGCTACACATAGAAATCCAGTCTGACTGAGTTTAAATAAAGACATTTACAATAGATGTGTTATCATTTTAAAGTCCTCAGATAATGGCTCACTTTACAATCATAAATGATCTCTTCAGTCAAGTTTGAGAATGGAAACCCCCACTGAGCACTGAAAACCAATGCTAATAACAAGCATCCATGGATGAAAAAGCTGACGAAAAGCTTATTAGAAAAATGTTTTAGATTTAGTAACTCAACCCTCTGTCTTTCAATTCATTTTGTGCTTACATCCTTCCCCTCAATTCATTTTAGATTTGATCCTGGTGGAGTCCGATGGCTGAGGAAAGGTCTGATAAAGTGTAAGCATATTTAAATAAACAGTTTCTAAAACTCCCAAAAGGTTGATTCTATTCATCTGGACGTGGCATTTTCCGTGGGAGAAACGTCTTGTCACTCATCCAGGTGACTTCTTCAGTCTCAGCTGACTGCAGGTTTTCCCAATCTTATAAACAGGACATTTGCATAATGACTGAAACCAGCCCACTGAAGGAAAAAGGGCGACCATGGCTCAGGGGGTTGGGAATCTCATCTGTAACCGAAAGGTTGCCGGTTCGATCCCACTGCTCCCTCTGTCCCGGCCGTTGTGTTCTTGGGCAAGACACTTTACCCTGCCGCCTACTGGTGTTGGCCAGAGGGGCCGATGGCGTGAAATGGCAGCCTCGCTTCTGCCAGTCTGCCCCAGGGCAGCTGTGGCTACAACTATGGTTTGCCTGCACCAGTGTGTGAATGTGAGAGTAAAGAACTTTGGGTGCCTAGAAATGCAATCAATTATTATTATAACAATGGGCTGGGATCTCAGTGCTTGATCATTAATATGCAACTTATCATGACCATTGATCTGAAGATATTAAACCTCTTCTCAACTTCTTGATTGGTAGATATACCTGTGCTTAACATCATGTTCTACTATGTTATGGACAGATTCTATGGATAAGCTATACACCTAGAGGTGCTTCTTTGAGCGTTTGTGAACAATATGTATGTAAAATGTAAAAAAATTTTAACTTTACTGCAAACTTCTGTGGCCTTTATGTTAGGGAATCTAGCCTTTTGGAAAGGCTCCAAAAGTTGAATCTGTTCATCTGGACGTAGCGTTTTGTGGGAGAAACGTTTTGTCACTCATCCAGGTGACTTCTTCAGTCTCAGCTGACTGCAGGTTTCAATCTTATAAACAGGACATTTGCATAATGACTGAAACCAGCCCATGAAGAACAATGGCTGGGAGGTCAGTGCCTTAATTATAATTATGCAAATTCTCATGACCATTGATCACAATCACCGACCAAAACCCACTGATCAAAGACCACTGATCAATGGCCATGAGTACTGTTAGGGTTCAGATATTAAGGAGGGCTATAGGAGGAATACAAACAACAACAAGTCAAACGATGATTTTTAATGAAACACACGTGTGGGAGATGAACACTGTACGCAGACAGCATCAATCTCTAGCTGGTGGAGGGTTACTCAAGCTCTTATAGCCTCTAGTGGCCCCCACCTAGTCGTAAAAACCTAAACATTCACATTCTTTCTAACTCCTAGCGAGCCTGACTTATGGCCTTGGCTGCTCCCTATTTTGTCTGCCTTCATCAACGGTGGGAGAGAAGCTCCTGTGCTCTCTGTGTCCTCTACTATCAGAACAGCAAGGCCCTGACTCTCTGAAAACAGTATTTCCTATAACTGAGCAGTATAATGCATCATAAAACAATATCATTCATTCACAATAAATCAGCAGTCTAATGTAATACAAATCAGTTTAATACCTTTAATAGTTATCACCTTCTTCTAATTCAGGAGAATAATGCAAACTAAAACTACATAATTCACAATCATTAATCAGGGGTATAACATGGCATAAGATAATATTATAATCCCACAGCCATTCCCCAACAGAGAGTTGGGGAATGGCTGCAATCACAGTATTGTAAGCTAGCGAAACATGTACCCTTAGGCCCCCTCCTCGATTCAGAGATGGTCTTTCCCCTTTCATGTAAATGGCCTCTTTGACTTCGCGCTCAAACCAGCGTTCCTCCCTGTCCAGGATGTTACATCCTCATCATTGAAAGAGTGTCCACTGGCCTGTTGGTGTGAATAGTCCTGGCCTGACGAGGTAGCTCTTCTGTGTTGTGCCATCCGCTTCGCTAAAGGTTGTTTGGTTTCCCCGATGTAAAAATCCTGGCAATTCTCCTGCACTTAACCGCGTACACTATGTTACTCTGTTTGTTTCAGTGGGCTGGTTTCAGTCATTATGCAAATCTACTGTTTATAAGATTGAAACCTGCAGTCAGCTGAGACTGAAGAAGTCACTTGTATGAGTGACGAAACGTTTCTCCCACAAAACGCTACGCCCAGATGAACAGATTCAACTTTTGTAGATTTACT